GTTCCAACTGAAAGTGCTTGAAGATGGCACGCAACATGATTCTCCCTACGGGCATCCCACCTGATGAGATTCTCTCTTGTTCAACCATGTTTTGAAACAAGAGCCCGAACTTACCTTTGCGGCAGGTTTTAAGGAGCTTTGCGGCTACTTCACGATCTAACCGTGGGAAACGCTTGTCCGCGATGAGTTCTTGCTCGGTGGAGGACATGCATGCTTGGGCCCACTGGTACACTTCATCTCCGGGGGTCTTCTGGAGTCGACCGATGGCCATCAAAACTTGATTGACGAAACCTCTAGCCTGACCAGCGTTCTCCGGAGGGGATGGTAGTACAAGATCCTTGAGATCCTTGACGCGGACAACGGACTCCTCGTATGCGGCGTGATCTACGGCGGTCATGCTTGCACTGGGATCGGCAGCCTGAGACGGGTCTGCGTTGGGGAACTCGCCAGAGCCTCCCCCGCCTCCCCCACCACCATTCATGGTGAGGTATGGGCAATCCGTGTCTTCATGGCTACCGCCGCAAACTCGACATTGTGGGGTATCATCATCTCCATCGGAGTCTGATGATGAGTCGGAGCTAGCGGCCGATGGCGCTTGTGGGGATGACGAGTACAACCCTCCCAACATTGTGATTGGTACTGGCGGAACACGAGTGCCGTTGCCAGCTTTTGGCGGAGGCGGCGCCCCCGCGAGGGGCGTGGGAGGCGCTGGAGGTGGTGCGGCCGGAGGCGGAGGTGGCGGAGCCACTTGATTAGCAACCAATTGGGAAAGCTGCTGAACCATTTCCGCTAACGCCGTCACTTGCACTCTCACATCGGCTTGATCCCTTGTACCGTCTCTACCCAACCCGCTAGTCCTCGACGCGCCGGGGGCTGCGTCTCCAACAGAGGACGCTGCTCCTAGCACTGCCGAATGGCCTACGAGATGTTGACTTGTTGCACCCCCACCAGGGTCCCTTGAATCAGCTGGGGCATCGTGACCAAGTCCTGAACTTTGAACAGAACCACACGGAGGGTCGGGGATAGTACTTGTAAAAGCATTCCCTTGCGACGATGCGGCAACACCGGAGGCATCTTGTGAACTGAAACCTGAGGTGCTCCAACCGGCTGATGGGTTCCTGGGGGAACTGTGCCTTGACTTGAGGCTTTAGCCGCGCTTGTTTCCGTAGCTGTTTCGGCTATTGATGCGGCTTTTGGCGGGGACTCTTGCATCGGAACAGGGGTCGCACGAGCTTGTTGGGTGAGTGCGCAACAACACGTTCGAGATCACCAAGTCGTTGATGCATCACAGAATTTTCCTGGGACAATCCACGAATGGTATGCTCTTGACTGGCAATGGTTTGTTCTCTTTGTGAGATTGCCTGTTGAGCCTCTTGAACAATGCGTTGAACCTCTTGCTGAGCGTCCTGTTGAGTGGCATTAACAACCTGTCGTGCGTTCTCGACATGGCCAATGGCTTCCTGTCGTGTCTGCTCGATAGTTGCCTAGCCTGAGCCTCACTTTGTTGTGCTGTTTGTACAGCCTGCTGTGCTTGCGAAGCTAGCTGAGCGGCCTGAACCCTAACGTCTGATACTTCTCTTACAGCCCTTTCCCTGATCCATCCGGCCTCTTGTCTCGCCTGGTCGGCGGCCTGCTGTTGGTGCAAGGCGTGATTGGCTGCCTGAGCAGCGAGGTCGGATGCTCGATGAGCTTGCTGCACCGCAGCTCCAGCTATAAATGCCGCAGCGGGTACGTTAGTCATCGGGTCAGGTAATTGCGATCCCTGTGAAGGAAACTGAATGGCTGGGGAAGCTTCGGATGATGTAGGTTCTGACACGATCGGACCACTCGGGGGTGATGATGGTCGTGTTTGGGCTGCTCGTTGAGGTGTGGATGTGCGAACTGTGGACATAGCTGCAGGAACCATGGCTAGGTCAGGGTCATCCGGTTCAGAATCCCTATTTGGGGTTGACCTTGAACGGGGTTCTGATGGCGGTGATAAGCCCGTTGAAGCCATGACACAGCAATGCAATTTTGCACTCACACGAAGCTAGCTCCACGCGCTTTGAGCAGCGTGTCAAAAGGTGCTACGAGGAGATATCCCTGGATTGGCAGCTGGTTGCGAAACGCTCAAGTGAGCCACTCAAGAAAATACGCCCTGCTGCTTTGCACCTGATGAATTCTGTATTTGTAATTGTACTTGTAGATTGATTGATCCGCACTGCCGCACTATGGTGCTTTATCGAGGGATGTTGCCAAGCTGTATTGAGAATTTGTCTGCAAATCGAATGCCTGTAGCTGCAAAGATGCTGTACCGCGCAAAGCGACGGTTTTAACGGCTTGCAAAGAAAGGCTATCGAAGTACCCGATTGGCGGGCAACTGGGATGCAGACCGATGGAGTTCTTCGAGGTACTGCGATGGATGCAGGCCCCTTGCCGCCGGAATGAAAAGTCGATTCCGGGACTCGATGTACTCCCCAAGGTTCTCAAGTGCGTTGGCAAATCCGCTCGGCCCGAAATGCGGGAAGTTGCGGAACGCTGCGATGCCTGTCTTTTGAGCTTCACGGACAATCGCAGCTGTATCGTCGATGAGGGCGTGGGCACCCAGCCCCTGAAGGGCGTCTGCTTTGCCTCCCCTACCCAACCTTTCGTGTACGATTTTTATCGCAGAGAAAGTGAGTCCAGATGTCGTCCGCGCGTGCTCCAGGGCGACCTGGAACTCGCGGCGGCGATACTCGCTTGCAGCCCTGCCCACGAAGGATAGCACTATAAAATTTATAGGTGCGTAGTCGGCTGCAAATTGAACGAGATGCCGGATCACCTCCGGGTTGAGCGTCAAGAACTCCGTGCCAGTCAAGAGCGATGGTAAGCTCCTTGGGCGGCACAGGCGGCGGGGGTGGCGCAGGTGGTGGCCTTCTTGGTGGCGATCGAAAGCGTGTGCCAGCCTCGGAAGTTGCAGCGCTAGCAGCAGCAGCTTTAACGACCTGCGGCGGTGGCGGCTTGACGATGTACCCTTGTGGCGGGTTTGAGCCCGATTTGCTTCTGGGTTCGGCTTTGTTCAAGCCTCGCGGAGGCGCCTTGTACCCGAATGCACTCTGAGTCCGAATAGGAGACCTTGCTCGCGGCGGGGATTTCCTCGGAATATCTGCTTTTGCCGGCGCCGAAGAAGCTGCACGAGGAAGTTCCTTGGGCAATGGAGGCTTGCTGCCAAAAATGACCTTTGGTGCGGCCTTTGGTGGCGGCGGTTGAATTGCTCCAATCCTCCGGCTATGCAAAGCAATAGGCTCAGTGTGAGTCGGTGCCTCGTATACGCGCCGAGGCACGTAAGCTGACCTGCCAGTTCTGATGGATTCCGCGTCCTGCGGAGGTTCCTCTTCCGAGCTGTAGGCGTCGAGGCGATAGTGCTCCTCTGGCCCTGGGCGTCGATCTGGAGATCGTGATCGCGAGCTTGTGGATGATCTTCTTGGGGGATCTCTCCACGTCTCGTCCGCAAGCGAATACGGGTCAGCCTGACGGAGATGTCCGGATGTCCGCTGTGCTCGGCGGTGAGATGTCGCCTCACGTGGCTGTGAAGCCTCCCGAACGAGTACCCAAGTGCCGTGCTCGTCAAATCGTGTCACAGGGTATATACCGTTCTGTGGAGCCAATACAATGGGCCGTGTGGCAAGGGAAGTCCTGGATGGCCTGCCCTCCCGCGCAAGCGCGGGTTCAATACTGTGTGCCCGATGTTCCACAGGGGTAGCAGCAGTCGGTCCTCGTCTCGGAGGCGATGGAGACCTGGACCTTCGGGGCGATGGGGACCTCGATCTTTGCGGCGACCGTTCCCTGCTGCTCTCCCGCCGCGTTTCCGCAGCTCTAGCGTACACCCCGCGAAGCGCTGTCTTGGCGGCGCCCCGCATGTCTTTCCTCTGCTGATGGTCGGATGCGAGGCAATGGAGTGCGCGAATCTTGTAGCCAGGATGAAGCTGAAGGAGGCGTCGGAGGGCGTAGCCAGTCCGCTGCACTGCTCGCTGCTTCCGCCGCGCCAGAGGCTGCGGCTTTATCCTGAGATTGCACACCTTGCGGCAAGACCACACCTGCGGTTTCAACCGATGCGAGACGCTGCTGATAAGCGTTGTCCGCGGCCTGGATCACTTCGAAGGCCTCTTGGTCAAAATCCCACAGGTGCCAACTATCCAATGACTCACGCCAGGAAAAGAGCGCCTCGATCTGTTGCTTCGAGGCGTCTGCAAACCTGACCCACCGGAATCGTCTGTTCTGCCGTTTGTACTCGTCAACGACGATCTGTTGCAGAGTGTTGAATAGACGGGCACGCGGCCCTTTCCCACCGCGAGTGCCGCGGTGAGGGCCGGCTTCCATGTGCGACCAAACGGTCGCAGTCACGGAGGGGTTTGTTTACCCGAAAAGCGTTACGGCTGATAACCACTCAAAGGAGAGGGAAACACAGTTTTGTCAACAACGGGGAAACCCGGGACCTTAAAAGGAACGAACCCCTCCGTGACTGCGACCTCTCCCTTAACCTTGTGGGTAGCGCGAGCAACGCGCTCTTTTCAGCACTTGAGCCAAATGACATGCGGACATGTCATCTGGGTCCTTGTCATGTTTGTACATCATGCAACTTGTTGTACCTCTGGGCCATAAATGTCATCGTGATAATTGACTATACCATGTCACATATGTATACATCTACATACATACATGCATGCAACATGTATACCCTCGATCATGGATCTCTGCGGAAGACCTTGTTTGTTGGCTGCATCTGCACCTCAAAATCGCAGACACCTGGCTTGATCCAAAACACACACCACACCATCGGCCCAGCTGTCCCAAAACACACCATGGCTTCAATATGCTTCAATGCATCTAATCCTTCAAACCCTTTTGGCCAACCGCAAAAATGCACAGAAACCATGGCTTCACCCTAAACCCTAAACCCCAAACCGTAATGATCCAGAAATCCCGGAAAAATGCGGAGAACCAACCGGAAAACCAGGGAACCCAAGACCGACCCTCGGCGCCTGGCGTTGGCCCTGGGACTGCGGCCGCACGGCCGGCAGATTGGCCTCGCGCGCTCAGATTGGACTGGGCCAAAATAGAGGGAAAAAGCTTTGAACACGAACCATTGAAACAAACCTGGAAAACGTGGTACCCACCCCCCTTTTGGGCTGAGCGTCCTGGACTTGGTGCCAAATATTGAGACAAAAAGCTCGAAAACATGACCAACCCCCCCCGCCCCCGTTTGGGGCTTCCTGACACATGGCCATGGGTCAAAATCCCGTGCCCCCAGTGAAAATCCCAATCCCAACCCAACTACAATAGGTTCTAACATGGGTGGTAAATTCACCTACCAACCAAAATGGGATCCCAAAAAGGTTTTGACAACCACAGCCACATATCCAATTGCCCGCGGATTTGGCACCAAGAACGGGCCTCGCGATCATCCAGCCTGGCCGGAGAGAATTTCCCAACCGATCCTTCGAGCCAGCGGCCATGTCCCAGTTACCAAGAACCAGAGGGGTTCCCACCCCCGAACCAAGCTAATGAATTCGCCTCCAATCCCCCCCCCCCCCAACAGCCTGCCAGCCCAGGCCCCGGCGCATCTCCGGGCATGCCAGCCACTAGGAGCGTGCCAGACTGGTCTCAAGCTACGCCAGCTACTAAGCCTGTCTGACGTGCCCCCCTCAGTCCGGCTGCCCCAGCAGCTCAGCCCAGGCTGGCCAGGCCTTGACCTCCTGCTCGCGTCAAGTCATCCAGCACGCCCTTCAGCGCAGTGTGAGACTGGTCTCAAAGTATGCCAGCCTGAGACTAGCCTCAGGCCCAGTCCCTCAGCCCGCCCTGGGCCTCAGGCCCAGCCCAGCCAGCCTCAGGCCCAAGTGTGTATGAAACAGGCCTTGCCCATCCAGCAACCCGCCCAAGCACAGCTCATCAGCCCAGCCCGCCCAGGTTCCAGGCGCAATCAGCAGCGTAGTCCGGCTGCCCGGCAGCCAGCAACCCACCCATGGCTTCCTGCTCGCGTCTGGCCAGCAGCCCAGCCCCCTTCGGCGTGAGACTGGTCTCAAAGTATGCCAGCCTGAGACTAGCCTCAAGCCCAGTCCCTCAGCCCACCTGCTGGCGTGTAGCTCAGCCCAGCCCGCCCAGCCCAAGTTCCAGGCGCAACCAGCAGCGTAGTCCGGCTGCCCGGCAGCCAGCAACCCACCCATGGCTTCGCAGCCTCGTGGCTGAGACTAGCTTCAGGCCCAGCCCAACCAGCAACCCACCTCAGCCCAGCCTGCCCAGCCCAGGCCCCGGCGCATCTCAGGGCATGCCAGCCACTAGGCCGCCCCAGCTCCCAGCCCACCAGCAGGCTCAGCCCAGCGTGCCAAGGTCAGGTTTGTCTAACGTGTCTGAGACTGGCCTCAGGCCAACGACCAGTCTCAGCTACCAAGCCTGTCTGACGTGCCCCAGCCCCCCAGTCCGGCTGCCCAAGCAGCTCAGCCCAGGCTGACCAGGCCTTGACCTCCTGCTCGTGTCTGACCCTTCCCTCAAACTAGGCTGGGCCGAGGCGGGCAACGCGAAGCGTTTACAATAAAGGTTACCTGAGCCATTTGGAACCCAACAAAAAGTCCAAACCAAACCAAAGGTAGATGTATTTTTTTTGACCCTACGTGTCCATCACACTGTGGCCCAAAGCAATTCGCCCCTGAATCAGACTCCTTGCGCGAAGGTATGACTCCTCGCGGAATGGTTTCCCCAACCCTCCCCGTGAGTGTCCTTCCGGCCAATTGAGCCACAATCAACATCTGGTACAGCAAAGTCTACCCATGAAAGAACAAAACAAAAGGGTCCAGTGTCTGCCACTATATATTGAAGGTTATTCAGGGACTCGTTGGTGGACATCATTTTCATGGCAATGTTTGTCCACTAAGCACTTTGGAGGGGTTCCCTGTTGCAATTCACACATGATATGGGTGCGCATAGTTTTGTGATGTTCCTTTTTCGCTTCCCTTTATTAAAACCAAGGTGGACAGGGTCTCAACGAAACACACTGCATCGCCATGATGTTTGATGAGGAATACCCTCCCAAATGGTTGGCGGAAACACATCCCCACCAAAAAGATGTCCACCAAAGGGTCCCCAGGTTCGAATTCACACTCCTGCGCATTTGTCTCAAGAAATGAGACCCCCCCCCCCCGGCAAGGAAAAATAAAAGACACGGAAAGTTCCCGTTTGCCTTTAAAACGATCCGACAAACCCAAAAGGGTACCCTCAAAACAAAGGCATGCCCTCATTCATGATCCCTCTTTTGATGTGCCTTCAAGACGAACCGACCAGCCCAAAAGGGGTACCGGGTACCCTCAAAAAAAGACACGCCCACATGACAAGGAGTCTGTCCCCTGAGAAACTCTTCCTGGAAGCAGTCCGCTGGCCTGGCAAGTACGGGCTTCTCCCTGGCAGTAAGTGGCAGCATGGAAGCCATGGCAAGCTGCCTGCTATCTGGCATCATATGGGTTGCTCGGTTTGGCCGCAGTTCAATGGGTGTGTGTGTGTGGGTGTTTTCTTGAGGACCCCACAAAATGGTTGGTATCCTTCTGGTTTCCCGTTAAAACCAACCAAGAAGGGTAGCGCAACAAGAAGACAGACCCTGATGGACTTCTAAAACTAAGCTGTAGCTAGGAGGCTTATGGCCTATGTGTGATCAAGTGAGGTAAGTGGCTTCGGGCAAGATGGCGCCCGTTGAGTCTTTTGCCCCAGCGAAACCCGTGCGTTGGAGTTCGAAGCGTCTTGTGCTGCACTATGTCTGCCAAGTGGCATTCAGTGGCTGCGGTCACAGATATATTGCAGTCATCAGTGCCACCAGCGAGATGCTCCACCGGAAATTCCTGGCTCCATGCAGAATTCCATGGACAAGCAGCCACAGCTTGCGAGCTTGAGAAGTGTGAAACTGAAATTGTTGATCCTTCCCAAAGGCCAATTGAACGCCACCCCGTGCCACTTCCAAAAAGACTGAGGACAAAAGGAACCCATAGGAGGCGTCTGATTTTGGGCAAAGGGAAACTTACAGGACACAGCAATCCATTCAACTGGTCCCCTTATTTTGCCATTGTCACCAGCGCCCCTCGAGTGCTTACAAAAAGGGATGTAACCCTCCAAACTAGTGGGTGTCAATTGATGTGTTCAAGTTTTGGTCTTAATGTTGACCCGGATTAAGAAACCCGTCCCATCATTAGGGGGTGTTCCCTCCAAGAGTGATGAATCCCCACAAAGGGACACGCCCCTATTGAACAACCATAAAATTATTAATCCGGGTTTAACATTATACCAAAAAACAAGGGGGGGGGGGGGAAAAACAAAAACTACTCAAAAAACCGGAATCAGAAGGACCCCCGGTGAAAAGCCTCCCACTCTCAGCCGCTCTCAGCCCTGGGCCCAAAGCCCTGCCCGGTCGCAGGCGGAGGCGGCAGAGGCATGCGCCGAGAGCCTCCGAGACGGACGCGCGCGCGCGCCGCGGCCCTTTGCTCAGCTTCCCTCGGGTGGCTTGCCTGTGGCTTGGAGATTTTTGGGATTTGAACCACATTTTCCAGATTCGGGATTCGGGAGTCGAATCAAATTCTTGGGATTCGGGATTCGGGATTCGTGGCTGGGAGGTGAGAAAAAAACGCTCACAGGCCAGGCAAATGCAAAATATGAACCAAAGGGCTACCTGACAAATGGCGGCTACCAACATGTCGTGGTCATTTGGGATAGGCCGACAATTTCATTGCCGAAGATGCGTTTTGGCTTAAGGCTACCCGACCTTTGTGGTTAGTTGAAACAAAAATGGTCGACCCAGAACCATGTAAAGAACTAAGAAGACGACCGAAGCTATTTATGGCTGGGATCATCCCTTACTAACCTTCACTTACCTGGATGTTGATTGTGGCTCATTTGTTTTAGGCCAATAATTTGATTGTGGTGCGTTGCTAGGACAAAATCCCTTTTGCCGCTGGGATGGCCGAAGCCCTATGAACGGATAAACGCCAAATCCCAAGTTGTGATTCTCAATTCTCGATGTTTCAATTTTCATCTTTTTGATTATGTTTAGAAAGCATCAGCTGGTGGCGCAGGGTTGCTCCAAAGCGCATAATACCTCGGTTGCTTTCTGCTCCCCTGCTAAGAGTTTAACTTTTAGTGGTTTAGTGGAAACCCAATAGTTGGCAGAAAGTTAAAGTCCTAACAGCCAAGCAAAATGCACCAAAGATACATTAATCCTGATCCCAGGGACTGAACATCCAGCCCGCCCAAGTCGGGTGCCATTCGACCGAAGCGCTCGGCGCAAGTGGGTAGGCACTTGGTCCACGAAATGTAAATGGAAACCGCGGAAACCTATACCCAAACCAAGGTTTTCAGGTTTCTGACCCTTGCAGTTTGAGAGTAATTTGGAGGAAACCTATACCAAACCAAGGTTTTGAGGTTTCGGATCTGACCGCAGTTTGAGAGTAATTCGCCGGAAGCAACCCCAGAAAACCGCAAGGCCCAAGTCGGTCCTATCGTTTGGCCGACCGAGGGGTCGTATCCGGCAAAGCGATAAGGGCCTACTCAGAACCGATGCCCTGCTAATATTGCCCAGTGCTCATTGGATGATGTCGAGAAGCCGACCGATTTTCAGGCTTTAGGCTTTCCTCAGCCCAGCGGCCTTGAGCGAAAAAAGGGAACGGTGCGAGCCCCGTTTTGGTTACATGGCTGTGGGTCAAAACCAATGGTACCGTTTTGGGGTAGGTGAACTCACCACCCATTTTGGATCTTATTTTAATGGTTGGATTGGCATGTTCACTGGGGGTACGATTGGATTTCGACCCATGGCCCAGCCACATCTGGGGTCCCGAAACCACCAAACAACAACTTGGTTGACGTTGGAAGGGGAGCAAAACAAATATATATTTTCAGTTAAGTGGTTGATTTCAATCACTAAACCACAACACGAAAAAATGGGAAAATGTTTCCCAACAACCACCATGCCAAAGAGCCTCAGGGCAATGCATATGGCTATGGGTCAGAAATTGGTACCCAAAAATGGAACTCCGGTACCAAAATGGTAAATGGAACCATGATGAACCATGAAAAGGGAGTTTACAGGGGGCCACGCGCAACTTTCCCTCGCCATGGCCATACCCACTTCCCCATGTGCCCGCGCACCCAGCTGCTGGCAAGTCAGCTGCTGGCTGCAGAAGTGCCTGAGCCACAAGGGTCGACACTTGAACGGTCGTCGCTTTGGTTTGAAGGAAACCAAAGGAACCCCGATTTTTCGATACATACCCACTTGACTTGTTGGTTTGTTGACTTGGGCCAGCTATGCTCACCCGGAAATCCGGAGGGGATCTTCTCGTAAAGAACCTTCATGTGCTACCCAATAGCAAGGAACCTTCATGTCGTTACCCCATCGGTGAGCTTGTGAACTCAGCCTGTGTCCCTGAACTTCAGGACCCTGGGGCACGCGCCACCGCCTGACGCCAGGCGGCCGCCCGTGTGCATGCAGCAACCTCAGCCCGCGCCTACGAGTTGGCAAAGGTACCAAGCTGCTTGCCACTCAAACGGCAAGTGATACCCAGCACGGGGTTGCTTTACAAGGGGTTGGGACAAATGGCTATGGGTCAAAACCCTGTACCCACAGTGAACATCCCAATCCCAACTAAAATAGACTATGGTACCATTGGTGTTGACCCACGGCCAAATCACGAAAAATGCGAAAGTCCAGCAACTCGAGAGCCAAAGGAGAAGTGCAGGTTCCTTGACGTACTGATCTTGGGTTCCCGCTACGGGGATTGAGAAGCTCCACCAGCAATCCGGCATTTTTCAGACGTTGCGGCGTACTTCCACAGAAAGTCGTGTTTTGAGCTTAAAGCTTCGGGGTTAGGCTTAACACAGCACCTTGCCCTCTCTTCCCATCATGGAGGTGGCGACCTGTTTAAGGGTGATGCACGCCCATGGTGAGAAAGCTTTGGATAACACTGATATCAGCAAATAAAGTTAAACACATTGGGCCAGACTTGGACCTCCTGCGCAAAAAGCTAACCTTTTGATGGTTGCAAGGGAGAATGGAGACAAACCCAAAGGCAAAAGAGTTCAAAGCTAAGTTTCGTCTGGCAACTCGTAGAAGCTCAATCTGGGGACTGGGAATCACATGAGTCACTACATCGATTCATTTCTCGCGGCTCGGCCAACCACCTGGTTGAAGCAATGCTGTTCAAACCGCCTCCTTTTGGTTCCCTTCAACTTGGTCCGCAGGCTGTTTGCTTAACAAAAATCAATCCAAATGCTGCGCCAGCCTCAGTAACTCCTTGAAATAAAGGTAGCTTGCTCCCTGGAGAGGCAAAAAGATAAGGGGCCCAGGGCCCATGTTCTACCCTTACGTTTCATGAATTCCCAGAGGCCCCGGCCACGGGACCAACAGGCGGCACTTGTTTCGTGGGTTTCAAAGGGAACGGGTCCCTGGTCCAACTTGAGGGGGACGAAAGCTAGCAACTGTTGTATGAGACGGCTCGGAAACTGAATAGATTTACTAAAGCTAAAGCTAACGTGAAAAGGCTGGTCAAAAATAGGGTAACCCCAAAATGGCACCCTGGTGAATGGAAATGACTAAAACCTGTCCCCTGGTGGTTTAACAGGAATCCTTACATTGTACACCTGAACATTGCCTTGTAAATTGTGGTTTCCCTTTATTTTGGTGGAAAAAGCCATGTTTCAAATGGTTGCAAAATGTATCTTTCAAGGAGCCCTGTTTAATTTTGACCCATACCCAAAAGGAAAAAAGGAAGCAAGCCACGGGCGGTCCGAGAGCAATATTCGCTGAGAACCTGTCCGCCGCAGAAAGCGCTAACCAGTCCACCTCCACGGCAGCGTCACCTGGTTGAGCCGGTGAAAAACGGTGAAGCAAAAGCAGTCGGCGAACCTAAATGTGGAAAAATGGAACCTGGTGCGAGTATGGTTGACCATTCTTAGTAGGTCCCGAACTCACCAAACAAGAGAAAGGATATCATGTATCAGTGAACAACTTGGGTCGTACGTGTTTAAACTAGTTGAATGCGGTTCTCATGCCAGCAGAGGCAAGTAACGACCGCGCGACAAGATGCGAGTTTGAATGCGGCTTGATCTAGACCTGGACCTCCAGTGCCCGTGGGAAGAAAGCAGGGCATCATTTTGGGGAGACCCACCTTCTCCCCCCACCTTTCAAGCATGACAGTTAGAATCATGTGTTTCTCACAGAGTCAGGTGCAGTTGAAAGCAGGTGCATCCGCAGATTGCCTGGTCGGATCTGATTTTAACGCGAGCCTTGCTTTGAAACAAAGGAAACAACGGCACCGCTGACAAGACTGAGGATTGGCTGTAGATGCAGCACGGCTTATTTTGGTAAAATGAGCAGAATCAGGTTTGTGGCAAAACAGCCAGTTGGCACCAAGCCCATGAATGCGCCCTTCAGGCACATTCACGGAACTTGGCCACTTGCATCCATTGCTTCTGGGTTCTTGAACATGGGGTTGGGTCGCTGA